GGTACCCCGTCCCCACCCTCCACCTCCGTCCCAGCGATCCCTACCGCTGCTCCGGGCCTTGGGCTGCAGTTCGCTGGCCTCCGGGATGGGTGGGGTCAACAGGTCCACGAGGCCGATGAGCAGCGCCTCGCACACGTCGTAGTTGACTAGGTCCTTGATCAGCTCGATGGCTGGGGAGGGCAGAGGCGATGCAGAAGCCTGCCTCCCACACTCTCCGTCCCCAGCCAGAAAGCAGAGAGCTCCTTGAACCACATTGCTTTGCTTTATTTACCTCATCCTCTTCATTGACCTTTCCTGACCTTTAATTGGCCAGCACTGCACCAGGTGTGGGGAGAGCTGGGCAGAGGACACCTCGGTCCTGCCTTCTTGGGGCTCTTGGTTACAGAGGAGGAGGGGGAGCTCTCCCCCTGCACCCCCACCAGCCACTAGCCGGGGTGGGGGCTGGGGGGCAGGGTTGGGTGATGAGCCCATCCATCCTGGAGGCTTGGAGGAACTCAGGAGGATTCATGCAGGAGGGAAGGGCTGGGTTTTCAAAGGGAGACAAGGGGTGAGGAGGAGACAGCAGGTGGGTGGGGATGTGTGGCAGAAAGTGAAAAAGGGGTGCAGGTGCCGGGAGCCGGTCCATCCTTGCTGCTTGACACAGTCGCTGCAGGGAAGAAACATCTGCACAGCATATGTTTCAAGGGACCTGGCATATATGGCATCCTGTTCTTAATATGTTTGCTCCCCTTCTTGGGACTATGTGTGTTTTTTTAAAATATATTTTATTGATTTTTTCCTTGAAGTTAGGGAGGGAATAAAACCCCTTACCTAAATGCCAGGCGGGTAGTTAATCACTTTAACTACGAACAATCACCCTTAAGCTACATAATCTTTACTCCCTGGAATGGAAATAAGAAACGCCCTAACCTTTGGAATAGAAATTGACAGGATTAAAATCAACTGGTATAAATACAGATGTAACAAGACAGATGGCGCCCAAACAGGGACACTTAGGTAAGCCCCACTCTCGGGACGGATAGGACTCCACTGTAGGAAGAGGGTGGATAGTCTTCGCTGACTCAGTCCACACCTTTGGGGACCCCTGGATCTGCTGGGGTTGGACCCCAGCATGCAGGCAAGGTGGACAGCAGTTTGGAGAAACGTTCCTTTCTGATGGACCATTATTGAGACCTTCTTTGCCTTGGTTGTGTGCTGAGGGCAGTGAGAGTCGCTTTGCAATAACACTATGCCTGTTAACCCCATTTTACATGGAGGAATGAGGCTCAGAGAGGTACAGCACTTTGCCTGAGGTACCACAGCTAGGAGGCAGTGGGAGCAACAGGAAGGAGAGATTTGGTTAGGCGGGAGGAGGCAATTAGAATGTATTGAAGGAGTTTTCTGTAGATATTTTCCAGTTATTCATTCCTCCCCACGTTCACTCAGCTTGTAGAATGCCTATTGTCACAGTACGGTAAGGAGCCTGTGAAAGGGGTCAGCAGGCCGTGGGAGTGCCTGGGGAGATGTAGAGAGAGGAACCAGAGAGGCAGAGCTGGAACGGGCAGGTTGAGATGGTACATGTTAACCGTGGTAAGTGTTACTCTAAACACATGTGCTGGCTGCACGGGACAGGACTTAGAGATGCGCTGTCCCAGCACAGGAGCCAGGTGGGGCCTCTCTCTCTCCATTTACTCCTGGGAGAGCACATTTAGGATAATTTGTTATCTCCCTGATTAGCTCTTTTGCATACCAGATTGCCATGTAGACACAGAACTGCTATATTAACAGTGTTATCTGTTTGAATCATAGAAATTGACCTTTTAGTTCCCTGTCAGGAGATTTTACCCAGTAAGAACATGTTTGGGATCATTCTTTGCCATGTGAGCAAAGCCGCCAGTTGCTCTAATTTTTTTTTTTAAATCCTCACCCGAGGATAGTTTTTATTGATTTTTTAGAAAAAGAGGAAGGGAGAGAAAGAAACATCAATGTGAGAGAGAAATATTGATCAGTTGCCTCCCATATCCGCCCTGACTGGGGATTGATCCACAACCTAGGTATGTGTCTTAACCAGGAAGTGGACCCACAACCTTTTGGCGTACAGGAGGATGTTCCAACCAACCGAGCCGCCGGCCAGCGCTAATTTGGTTTGGTTCTAATTTGGAATCACGGAGCCAGCAACACTGTGGAGAGAAAGGGGCCAGCATACCAGCCCCCCTGTCACCCCCACACTCTCCCACCTGCACAGTAATGCGCCTGGGACGCCTCTGGCTGCTCGGGAGCCCCTGCCTGGACTGGCTGGTGTCTGACCCCCCCCTGCCCGCCCCGTCCTTCTCCCCTGTTCTTATTGTTTGGTTGTGACACCTTTTCTTCCTTCCTCCGGAATGAGTGCAGCTTGGGTTTTAGGTCTGAGTGTTTGGCTCCTCACACCCGCACACTGGGCCTTGTCAGCTGCAGGTCGACTCTCAGGAGTGGTTGGGCTCGTGCCAGGCACAGGCTGGTAGCACCTTCGTGCGAGGACGCGGCAGGAAAAGCGCCAGCCTGTGCCTCAGAGAGCTCTCCCCGCAGCTGGACATGGCTCCTGGACATTCAGGGGAGGAGTGAACGGGTGGGGATATTTTATGAAGTTTCCCTGACCACAAACGGCATTCTCTGCCCACGTAGGACCCAGTACTCCAGGAGACAAATGTCTGGTTCTGCCTATTCACTTTACGCTAAATGCTTGATCCTTCGTTGATTATGTATCTGCAACACTTGGAGCCCCTCAGAAAAACGAAGATTTATTCACTGAGTCATCTCTGACTGAGTTAAAATTCATAGCTGTCACTGTTTACACCCAAAGCAAAAGTGCTTGTCCTGCCCAAATATCTCCACAAGCGCCACAGCCAGTTACAACTCTCTGCCCTGCGTTAGTGACTACGCACAGCAGGCTCATGCAGAAAGCCAAGGACAACAGGAGACTGCAACGCCTGTGGTACTGATGACACCCCCGCCCCACACTGAAGCAGTCGCTGGTTGGTAACTGGTCAGGAAAATGCCTCACACAGGTTTACTCATGGGTGCTTTCATTTATCTAACACATACGTAGTGAGCGTCTTCTCCGTGTCGGACCCATGTGCTAGGGCAACGAGGAGGACGAAGGCCCAATCCCTGCCTTCAGGGATGACACAGCTAATGGGACACCAGTAAGGAAACTGGCATTTACGATGTGTTGTAAGGGCTCTGAGAACACGAAGGAAGCCAGGTTGGTGTCAGAGCATGTGGAGGGGTTGGGGGTTAGAGAAGCAGATGGCTTCCTTGGAGAAGGCAACACGTGAGCTGACAAAGCCACAGGGAGAAGGAGGGGACTGGAGTGAAGAATGTGGCGAGTGCCATGCTGCCAAGTGCATGCCACCCTTGTGGCCAGGCAAGCAGGGAGGCCTGGCTGGGACCCAGGGTGTTGGTGAGAGCTAAGCTTGTGGAGGTAGGCCAGCCCCAGCTTCTGAGGGTTTTGCACATGCCAACCACCCTGTAGAGCAGGTGTTTTCTCATCTTTCATTTCAGAGAAAACCAAGACTCAACAAGATTGAGTAGCTTGCCCAAGATCAAACAGTTAATAGGTAGTAGAATGACTCTACAGATTCCAAAGCTCATATTCTTTTTTTAAAAATTTTTTTTTAAAAATTGATTTCAGATAGGAAGGGAGAGGGAGAGATAGAAACATCAATGATGAGAGAGAATCATTGATCAGCCACCTCCTGCACGCCCCCTACTGGGGATCGAGCCCGAAACCAGGCATGTGCCCTTGACTAGAATCGAACCCAGGATCCTTCAGTCTGCAGGCTGATGCTCTACCCACTGAGCCAAACTGGCCGGGGCCAAAGCTCATGTTCGTTACCACTAAACTCTGGTGGAGAACCAGGAAATAGACTGTGTGTGGGCACCATACTGGAGAGATGGAGTTTGGTTTAGAGGTGAGAAATACAGAGACCTGAATTACAGAAGGAGACAGAATGGAGAAGAGGGGACATATTTGAATGATATTCAGGAGTTAGAGTTGACTGGCTTTTTGGAAGTTGGCCGAAGATGGGATGAAGAAAGAAACGACAATTGCCCACATCTGGGTGTTTTTCCCTGAGGCTGGGACCTTGGAAAATGAAAGATTTGGAGCTAGAACACCAGGAGTCCCATTCTGAACATGGTTAGTGACATCCAAAGGGAGAGGTGCGGGGGGCAAATGGAAATATGGGTCTGGAGCTCAGGGGAGAGGTCACTCTGCTCATCACCCATAAAAGGGGAACAATAGTGCCCACCTCATTTGAGGACTAAATGAGGTAGGAGCTAGAGCAGTACTTAGCATTTAGTAAGCCCTTTATAAAGGTATCCATGATTGTTTCTGTCATTATAGGTGGTAATTAAAACCATGGCAGTGGACTAGGTACCACAGGAAGAAAAGAAAGAGAAGAGGAGCTGGGTTTGGATCCTGCGAGGAAAAGAAAGGGGGCGGTGGGGGAACGGAACGCACAAAGGACTGAGCAGCAGCTTCCAGAAAGGCGGGAGGAAGCCAGCAGAGCTGGGTCTGGGAAGGAAGAGAAGGGTATTCAGGAAAGTGGCTGGATCAGGAGAGCCGTGGAGAGATTATGCCCAGTGAGGCCGAGAAACGCTTGGCAGGGCCCATACGCATTCATTTGACAAATGTCAACTGAGTAGGTGTCAGCTACACCACCAGTGCTGATGGAAGCAGCAGTAAACAGCCCAGGTGGAAGGAGTGGGCCTCTGACACTCAGAGGAAACTTTAGTGCAAGAGGAAAGATTCTGCTAATGCAGAGGCACTGCCACGGCCTGGCAGACTGGGAGAAAGCGTGGTGAGGCAACCGCCTGTCCGATAGATGAAGAAACCCAGGGAATCACAGTAAAAGCGGCGACCGAGCTGCGGAAGGAGCCTTAGAAACGGGACTGCACCTGGGAACCGTGGCTGTGTCATGCAGCCATTGCAAGTCACTGGGCACACATGAGGTTTGTTTCTCAATTCTTTGCTAGCCTGGGAAAACCAGGGTCCAGTTCTTTCTCTTCGCTTCCCGACAAGACTGCCACCTGCTGGCCACAGGCGAGAAGTGCGCTCCAGTTTGAGTCCACACACAGGTCCTTTTCCAGCAGGGTGTGTGGCAAGTTGCGATGTTGCAAGGAAGAAACCTGTGTCAGGCATTTTCCTGAC